GTTTGTGTAGTTCCTTAGGATTTTTTTGTCAAGTTTTGGTCAAGTTTTCACCATTTATTGGTTTCCAAGAAGAAAACTTTCATTCTTGGTTTATAGAGCCTGTGGGTACCTAACTTTATACCAGGGTACAATGTGAGAAGAACAAGTAGGTGTTAGTACTTAGTGACATTGAATGAGTTTGACATCATATAGGTAAAGTGAGTCCTAATATTGTTTATGTAAAATTTGTGTGGTGTGTGTGTGTGTGTGTGTGTGTTACTAGGGATTGAACCCAGGGTGTTGGGCACTGAGGTAGCATCTTAAGTCACTAAGTTGCTCACGCTTGGCTCAAACTTGCAGTCGTCCTGCCTCAGCCTTCCAGAGTGCCAGGATAGCAAATGTGTGCCCCAATGCCCAACTTTTCATAAGCTTTGACGCTGCAGGTCTCACTGGGCAGACTCTTAGGTGTGCATAAGAGTTCTTGTAGAGCTGGATTAATTGAATTCCTTTGGTGTGATGTTCTGGCTGAAGTACATATTTATGCAGGCTACTTTTCAAAAGCCACATGTAAACATGTTGGATTTTAAAGGTATATACAATTTCTAAAAATAAACCAGTAATCATGCATTTTTGCTTTACTAAGTAAACACTTTTGAAAACAATTTGAAATCCAAACATAAGAAGAAACGGATGTGTCTCCCCCCCTCTGGAATCAAACTCAGGACCTTGTACTCACCAGGCAGGTGCCAGCTCCACTGAGCTACATCCCCGGTCTCTCTAGCTCTCTCACTTTATTAGTATCAGTTGGAGGGCTGTGGCTTGAGCTCATGCCAGAAGACTGGTATCAGGTGCAGGGCTTTGCTTGCTCTTGTGAAGTTCCAGAAGAAGTCAGCATTTCCTGATTGGTATTAGGTGTAGGGCTTGGCTTAAGCCCATGAGGACCTCGTATCATAAAAATTGAAGACAGATTCTCTGTGATTAGCAGATCCCAAGTCATTTGCAAAGGCATTTTCCACACAGCCTCTGGCAAGCTAAAAGTTTCAAATCATGAAAAGTGAGGCTTCCCAACAGTAGCACTTAAACAGAAGATGACAACATAAAATAAAGGTCAAAAGCAGCTATTGTACAGTTTCCTAAAGTTGCATCAAATCGCACTCTGAAAACACTTAAGGCCTCCAAAATGGCGAAAAAGCAACAGAAGGCCGTGGAGGTCGCTGCTTCTGAGATCATGAAGTTGGAAACGTCAATAAAAAAGGATCTCTAGAAAGTGCATCCAAGACTGGTTTAGATACAGCAGACCATACAACTACCAGCTTGTTAAACACTCAGATGATGACTACATTAAAAAAAATCCAGAAGTGCCTAGAAGAAGGTGCTTTTGCATGAGAGCAAAGGGAGAAAAGATGGCAGAACTTTGAAGGCTTACTGTGAGGAGCAGCTGATACACAGGCTCATGCGACAGTCCCAACAGGAGCACAGGAGTGCTGTGTGACTCATGCACATTCAGCATGAAAAGGAGGTTTTATGGCAAAACAGAATTTTCAGAGAAGAACAATATGAGGAAAGATGACTTAAAGATTTCCAGGGTGCTCTTGATCTAGAAGTGGCTTTGGCAAAACAAGCCAAGATTGATTTTGAAGAACAAATCCTCAGAGAAAAAAGTTCATGAACAGATTGCTGTGGCTCATTATAGAAAGCATTTTAAAATATGTGGAGAAATTTTGGATCAAATACTTGATTTGTCCACTAAAGTGGCAGGCTATCAAATGATGACAAATAATCTGATTCCATTTAAGATTATGCGTGATTGGAAGGAATTTTTTTTTTTTTCATGGAAAGCCCATATCTGACCAAACGTTTGTTAAGCATATGTCTGATAATCCCTCTGAGGAACAACTTAGAGAACTGGATAGAAGAGTCTTGCTAGATAGCAAAGATTATAAAGAATATAAGAACATGGTTGGAGAGTGGGCTGTGCCAGAGAAATGATGATAATTTACCACCCTCCAACAATTCTGAACTGGGCCATGCGCTTCACAGACTCATTGAAAAATCTCTTCCTCCTCAAATTGAGCCAGCAGAGCCTGAACGGCCTTCATTTTCTTTTTGTTTTCCTCATTGAGTTTATTGGTACTTTTTAATATACAGTACAGTTACATTCATCATTGGGATCTTGTACCTTTACATGACAGGTCTTGGTTCTCATTTTTCCCCTTATCCCTGCCCTCCCTTCAGCCCCTTCTCCCTTCCCTATTTACAAATGCTTTGTTTCCATTTTTTCATTTTCATACATGACAGCTTGGTTCTCATTTTTCCCCTTATCCCTGCCCTCCCTTCAGCCCCTTCTCCCTTCCCTATTTACAAATGCTTTGTTTCCATTTTTTCATTTTCTCATATTTTTTTCTTTCCCCTTATTTCCTTTCCCCTACCCTTTGCACTTCCCCTACACCTTTAGCCCTTTTCTTCCTATTTCACATGGATGCTTACTGGGGAAAACACTTAGTGGGAAAACTATCACTTTAATGACTCTACAAAGAGAATTTGCTATTCAGGTACTTTGTATGGACACTTCTGACCAAGAAGCTGTCCAAATTTCGTTTGTGACAATGAAAAAGTCAGGGAGGACTACTGATTCAGAAAGAAGGTGGAGAGGTTCTATCAGATCTGCAGGAGGACAGCAAGAAAAACCAGGACTCGCACAGTGTATCCTCAGATGCTCCAGTTTCAGCTGAACCAATACCAGAAGCAGAAGGTGAAAGTTAGTACCCATACTAATAGAACACCAAAACTGAAGAAGTCAAATCAATGATATACTGATAATTTCTCTAAATTCACTGTATGTGCTCAGCTTGGTGCAAAATCTCAATAATTGCTAAAGAAAGGACAGAGCATTACAGACAGATTATTAGTTAGCATCATGGTAAATGCTATGAATGAGGTACCTGTGAATCAGGGGTGGATCCTTGATGGTTTTCCAATGACATTAAACCAAGCAGAGCTTCTAAAGGAAGCTCTCACCAGCTGCAATAGAAGCCTCATAGAAATGGAGGCAAAGAAAGCACATTTAATATCCATGTTGGCTGTGGATGCTATGGGTTCAAAAGAAGTACCTCTTCCCTCTTCTGCATTTGATTTTGTCTTGTGACTAGGTATGTCAGATACTTTCTTGGTGAGTTGCATGAATGATGTAGCTGAAGAATTTTCACATGAAATGGCTCATAAAGATATTGGTCAACATGGTGCTCCTGAAAACCAAGACAAGCATGGGTACCAGAACTCAAGAGGTTGCATACAAGATAAAATTACAGGATTCTTGGACAATTGGACTGTGTTGGTACTATGGTTTTCAGAACCTGAAAATATTTTGATAAAAATCAATGCTGAACTAGATAAAGAAGTTTTATACCAGAGACTAAAAGAAATGTTTGCAACTGAGATAGTGAAGAAAAAGAATAAAAATAACTACCTTTATTATAATTTAAGCTTATATTACTAAAATATGTGCTTCTACTGACTTTAGAAGAAAATTGAAGTGTGATTGCAAAGTTAAAAAAGAAGAAAAATGGATTGAGATTTAGCTGATATGGATTCTGTTTTAAAGGCCAGTAGAGTTCTTAGCCATTGAGAGTGGTAATTTCCTCCAGTTGTAGGGGTAAAAGGAATTTTCCTGGGCTCTGTGAAGGTTTGATATTTGCATCAGCTGAAATAAACTGGCAATAGACAGATTAGCAGGAGAGAAAACATACACATTCATTATGTTCATGTGTTGCAAAATTCCAAGAGACAGGAGAGACCAGTGGGAATCAGGAGGATTTAAGGTGAACACCAGCTCAATAGACTCCTGTCCAAAGGAAGAGTGTTGAACAAAGAAAAGTTTCAGTTTTTATACATTTTGTCAAAGGGGATGGTTTTTCTAGTGATGTAGCAAGTTAGTTTTTCTTTTCCTTTAAGTTCTGCTCACATGGGTATTGCAAGAATGAAAAGTAAATATCCTGTAACCCAGTGAGATTTAAGAGCTTGTATACCCTTCTTCATAAGGGAAGGGGTGGGGGGCGTGTAGGTCATTTTACTGGAAGTGTAGGTGCGCGGTTAACTTTGGTTGTAAGCTTGCTTGGATTGAGGGATGCCTAGAAAATTGGAAAGCACACTGCTGGACGTGTCTGGGAGGTATTTCCAGAGCAGATTGGCGTGTGGGTCAGTGAACTGGATGGGAAGATCTGTCCTGAATGTGGGCAGCACAATCCAATAAGTTGTAGGCCTGAATGTAACCAAAAGTAGAAGAAAGGGAAATCTTGCTGTCCCTGCTGGACTCTTCCCTAGTGGGTGTGGTTTTCCTGCTGCTGCCTCTGTAGATATCAGACTCCAGTTTCTTCAACCTTTGAACATAAATGTAAACCAGCTTTCCAGGGAACTTGTAGGTTTTTATCCTCAGACAGGAAGTCTTCTCTCTTGTGAGTGAATCTTCTCTGTTTGATAAGATTATAGGTAAGGTTCATGACAATTACGTTGAATCTGGAAGAATTTTTCTTAGGTAAGGAACTGCGGAGAGCCGGGGATTTAGCTCAGTGGTTCCACTGCCTGCCTCGCAATCACAAGGTCCCGAGTTCTATCCCTGGTACAAAATAATAATAAAATAATAACAATAATAATAATAATAATAATAATTCAAGGAACTGCAGAGAAACTCTCCCCTGTGCTTTAGAAGAAATGTGGGAAGGTGGAGGCTTAGCAACGCCTTGGTTCTCAGGTTGTTGCTTTAGTTCATGGTCTCAATGTGTCAAAGTGCCACACCATGGGTCTTGTTCTCTGAGCCCCAACACAATTTTATGCTATTTAGAATTGCTGATGTAGCTCAGTGTGATTATCCTTTTATGAAACTTATGTTTTGACATTATTATTACTAGTATAAAGCAAAGAATTGAGATTTTTCTTCAGGTGCTTAGAGGTGAGGATTAATGATAATAACAGGGTATTTTCCAGCCCTGTTAAAGTGCATATTCTTATTTGATTTTCTTTTCCAGCTTGTTCGTTTTGGTTTAGGTAACCAGCTGGTGGTTGCTTTCAAAGAAGATAACACTGTTGCTTTTAAGCACTTGTTTTTGAAAGACTATTCTGGCGCAGATGAAGATGACTACAGCTGCAGTATTTATACTCAAGAGGATGCCTATGAGAGCATCTTTTTTGCTATTAATCAGGCAAGTGTTTTGTGAATAACTTGTACTTCAAGAATATATTCATACTTGAGCTTGTTGTCTTAGCAAAGGAACAAAAGTTATACATAGATTAAACTATTCTAAGGTGAACTTTGCGTTGTCTACCAAAAATATTTATTACTATTTCTGGAACTAAATAATAGTATGCCTATTTTGAATTTTTCTTGAAGATTTATCTTTTAACTTATTCCTTCCGACCCAACTTGTTTCCCAAGAGATTTATAGTCTCAGAAGTTTTTCTTTTCTTTTTTATTTTTTTGGTACCGGGGATCGAACTCAGGCCCTTCGGCTTGTGAGGCAGGCAGCATAAGCATTGAACCAAATCCCTGGCCCAGTCTCAGAAGTTTTGATGAGTATTTGAAACACAACTTAAAGAGTCCATGGTTGTCTCAGTTTTCAGATCTTAGATTTGGTAATCCTAACTGAATCTTAAGAATATGAATATAAGATAATAGTATTGAGACAGGTATAGGAAAGTAGATTAGTGGGCCTAAAGTAAACATTTAGGAGAGAGAATCTGCTCTTGTTTTTTTCTTTCATTCATTCAGTAAATATTTGAGGCCCTAGTATGTAGTAGGTACAATTCTAGACCTTGGGGGCCATAGCAATGACTAAAATGAATAAAATCCTTTCCCCTCTAGAGAGGAGAGCTAGATAAATGAAGTGTGAGGTATAGTATTGAACTCTGGGTCTCTATCTAAAAACATACCGATACACAAAGCTGGGTCTCTTGTTCACAACAGTAAGGAAGATGCTGCCTTGAGTACACTCTTTGTGGTGCCTTGGGTAGGTGGGGGGCACTTCAGGGTTGGGAGAACTTCACTAGGATCGGGTGAGGGTCATGATATAATAGTTGAAGATTGGTGGATATAGCAAGGAAAGGATTTGGGGAGCAGTCTCAAAGGAATTGAAATTGTTAGACTACATCGTCAAACTGTTAGCTATTTACATGAAGTTTTTTAATGTTCCTTGTCTTAGTCTCTTTCCTTATCACTAGGATAAAATACCTGGCATTCATAACTTAAAGGAAGAGAGGTTTATTTTGGTTCACAGTTTTTAGAGGATTTAGTCCTTGGCTGACTCCAGGAAGAGTATGGTGGGAGGGTCTGACAGAAGAGAGCAGCTCACATCATGGTGACCAGGAAGCAGAGAAAAAGGAGGAGCTAAGGGGGGGGACATACACCTTCCAGGTCATGCCCCCAGTGACCCACATCTCCGACCAGACCCCGCTCCCTAAGAGTGCTTTGAGCTCTGAACTCTTCTGTGAGTCTCCACTGATGAGCTTAGAGCCCCTGTATCCCATCATCTTCCAAAAGTACCACCTCTAAACACATGAGCCTTTTGAGGGACATTTGAGATCTAAGCCATAACATTCCTGAAATAAATCAAATGGTTCATTGCAATTTCTATGTTCCAAAATACAAATTTCCTGGAGTAAAGAAGTCATATTAATAAAGACCAGAGCTCGTGAAGGAACACTCTTAATGCAGAAGCCAAACAGTAAAGTTGTGTTAATGTCAGCTGTGGTGTGTGGATGGATAGTTTGGGTCCCCGGTGGTATGTTTGAAAGTGAAAGCTGCTGAGGAATAAAGTAGGGAGGTTTTGATATATTTTTGCAATTTTCATTGGCTTGATAAGGGAATGCCTTGCTGAGGTAGTGATATCTGAGTTAAGACTGGAAGGAGTAAACTGAGCAGGCAGATACCAGCTCTCTAGGCAGAAGGGTTAGCAAAGGCCAGGATCATAGGCCTGTCTGACAAGCTCCAGGAACTGTGTGGGGGCCAGTGCAACTTTGGGGGTGAGGCCAAGGCACTTTGGGAAGCAGTAAGGGCAGAGAGATAGGGTGGAACCTCAGCCCCGGCTCCGAGGGAGATGAGAGCTGTCCGTCAGCATGTTTGCTTCAGTTTAGTGTCTGTGATATGATCCAGTGCAGCCTAAGAAAACTACTTTGGTATTTAAATGGCAAAGTGCTGCTGAGGGCACAAGATAAACAAGGCAGCGTAGCTAAAAGTGCATTCTGTATGTGGTGACTTCTGGACAAATTTTCAAAGGCTTGTGCTTTTATTTAACTCTTTTTAAAAATAGTACCATCAACTGAAGAACATCTCCCTGGCGACTCTTGATTATGGAGAAAATGAAGACAAACGAATTGGCATAAAAGTCTGCAAGCAGCATTACAAGAGAGGGACCATGCTGTCCTCTAATGAGACCCTGAATATTGACAGTGACATTGAGATAGGTAATACAGCAATCGTTTCATTGTATGCCTTCGTCCTCTTCTGTGGTGAGAACAGAAGGGCCCCTTATGCCAGCAACTCAAATAGAACAACTTTGCCTTCATGAGAGTGAATCTGCTCCAGGCTTCCCCTTTCCCATTCGTCTGCAAAGCACTTTAGCTCAGGAAACTGACCGCCAAGATGCACAGGGACAGTTCCCGTTGATCTTTTGGTTCAACTCAAAAGTGTTGGTTTTTGGGATAAATACACAGGTGTTTTTGCTTGTTTAGGTTTTTTTTCTGAAGAGCGTTTGATTAAGCTTTTTCAAAAAGTGGGTTGTATATATCAAATGAAATAGTGTGTGTAAAAATGCCTCACACACTAATTTTTATTACATGCAAAATATATAAATGTTCTTCAAAGGTGGATTATAATCAGTAACTAATTTTCTCTTTTAGATGATTGGCAAAAAGTTAACAGTGACTCATGTGTGTTACTTTGTGCCACTTTATTAAGAATATAGAAGAATATCATATGTAAATGTGAAGTGTTTAGTTTAAAACTTTGAGGGTTTTGCCATTCAGCAAACCTCTGGTGGGTGTCCACCTTGCCCAAGACACTCTCTTTTTCCTGTCCCAGACTTGCAAAGATTAAACACTTATGACTCCTCAAGGGACCAACAGTTCAAGAGTTGGAGTCCTGGTATTAGTTTAAATCTGGAGTGATTTTTTTGTTTTAGAGAGCATCTTGTAGTTCATTTGGGCATATTTCCAACAATCCAACTTTAAGGTGTGTTGATAACACAACAGGAGGCCACTCCCACACGGCAGAGGCTTAACTCGTTTCTTGACACTGTTGAGAATCTCTGCGTGGGTGAACTTATTGAAGGCTCTGGACTCTGAAATGAGCAACTGCCAGGCCACGGATTCAGGCCTTGCACTGTCTGGTGCCCAGATTGCTGTTAGAGACTTGCTGGAGAACAGTTGCGTGGTTCTGTAACCAGTGACGTTGAAATGTCAGTGGAGGGCTCTGCTCACCTGAGACCTACGTGGTAATGGGTCTGCGTGAGCCAGTGCTGCTTCCCTCTTTCATTTTCTACCTGTGTACTCAGCCCCCACCACCCTGGTGATTCCTATAAATGAAACAAGAGAATTTGACAGGTGGGGCTGAAAGCTGGTCCTGTCACCTTCTACTTCATGTAAGCCATCGGTCATTTGCTCTTTTAAAAATGTGTAACTCCAGTTGAATGATCACCATACAACTGTTTTCCAGTGATTCATATGCTGTTTTTTTCCAACTGACTTTTCTTGCAGAATTGATTAAAGAAATGTGACCAAAGTGACTATGTAGGATGGGCAGGGCTGGAAAGCAGGATCTGTTTACTTCCTAACCATTGGTTAATAGTGCCCTTGTTCATTTCCTTTCTAGAAGAATATATAATATGTTTGACTAAGTGGAGAGGCTGATTATTCATTTGACCTTATTTTGAGATTGCTTAGGCAAGTTGATTATATTCTTTAAATTATTAAATATAATTTGGCAAAGAAAATCTTTTAATGTATTGAGAAGGTATAAATATTTAAAAATACTTATTGCTTGATTTTCTTGGACACATTGGAGGAAACCTGAAGATGACATAAATGGGATTGAGTTTGGCTTCATTAGTGTGGCTTACAGTTTCAGCAGGTGATTTGGTAGAGGCTGTCCCACATTAACTACTCAAAACATTTGCATTTTCATTACTATTAGTATGATCATCCTTCATGTGCTAAATGCAGTGATCTGCCCTTGTGCCCACCTTTCCTGCTAGGTTCACATTTAGTTGCACAGCTAGCTGTAGATCAAGCCGAGTGTTTCTCTTAATCTGTGCTGATGGGTACACGCCTCCCATTTCTGCCTCTAGAACTGTAGCTTCCCAGTTTAGCCTTATGGAAAGAACTATTTTGAATCCTGTAAAACAATTTCCCCCAACAGTTAAATGGGTATTGTTTTAATACAGGTTAAGTATTCCTTATCCAAAATGCTTGAGAACAGAAGTGTTTCAGATTTTGCAATTTTTTTGGGGGGGGGGCGTTGAATAATGCCAAAAAAATCTTAAGGATACGACATAGTCTAAGCATGAGACTCATTTATGTTTTTTCTATGTGTTACACATAGCCAGAGGGTAATTTCAATAATATTTTTAGTGCACCTACACTTTGACTGTTACCTATCAGGTGAGATCGGGTGAAGCATTTTCTTCTGTGGCATCAGGCCAATGCTCAAAATGCTGTTAGTGCTGTAATCTCAGCCATTGTGTAGGCTGAGACAGGAGAATCCCAAGTTTGAGCCTAGCATGGACAACTTAGCGAGACCTTGTCATTAAAAAATAGTTTTAAAATAATGGTTGTGAATGTAGCTCAGTGTGAAAGCCCTGGGTTCAATCCCCAGTACCTAATAAATAGGAAAGAAAGAAAAGGTTTCAAATTTTAGAGCATTTTGGATTTCTTATTCTTGCATTAAGGCTGTTCACCTTATATAGTCTTCTGTTTTCTGTAATAGTATTGGGTTTCTTGTGTTCTTATTTCCACACATTCTCAGCATGAGACATGATGACTAATGCTATCATTTTCCCTCCTGCTGTAGGGATGTGTTTAATCTATGCATGCTCTGAATGCATTGTTATTCATGGGCTGCAGTATTCCTCTCTGTAAGTGAGATTTGTTTGAGTGATGAAACTCTTGCACTAGACACCAGTTTGTTCTGCTGGAAGTTTGACATTTTACTAAGGGCTTTAATATTCTTCTTTTTTTTTTTAATCTGAGTTTTGTTGATGCCAGGTGCTGGTGCTCTCAGTAGCAGTGGCTACAGTATAAGATCAGCCAGACTTCAGGGCACTCCGATGTACACTAAGAAAACAGGTAGCTGCGTAATTACAAGCAAAGTGATGCAGAGTGAAAAATAAAGCACACCTTTATAGACACATTCTTTTTTTGAGACAGGGTCTCACTGTGTAGTTGAGACTGACCTGGAACTCACTATGTAGCCCAGGCTGGTCTCGAACTCACAGCAATCCTCCTACCTCAGCCTCCCGAGTGCTGGGATTACAGGCACGTGCCACCACGTCAGGCTTATACGGCACATTTTATAAATAATATACAAGCAGCTGACTGAATTCTGTCAGATTTCTCCGAATCTTAGATGCCATCATTTAAAAAAGAAAGCGCAACTGCTTTAGAGGTGTTCAAAGTAAAATAATATGCACCTTAGAATAAATGAAATACAGGAGAAACATCCCAAGGCCACGTCTGCACATAGATCTTGAGCATGTTACTTCTTTTGGAATGTGGTCGTTCACTCAGATCTGTTTAATTAATTTATTTTTTTACTTCCCCTCAGAGTGAGAACGTTAGAGGGACAAGGCCCTATGTATCGTCATCCTGGCTTTCCTTGTACAGCTGAGGAAACCGTTACTCAGTCAAGCTAGGTAACTGTGCCAAGGTCAGGTAAGGATTTAGTGGCAGGAGTGGTGCTCTAATACCAGCAGTGTGAGCCTCCGTGCTGAGTCTCAGCCCCATCCTGAGCCACTCAATCCAAATGTGCATCTTAACAAGACCCCTAGTGATTTCTGCACACCACACTTTTCAAACAGTGAGTCTGTGCTCTCCAACTAAAGTTCTTTGGTCTTTTTGGGATGCTACAGACTGAACCCAGGACCTCCCACATGCTGGGCAAGCACTCTGCGCAGGCTCCTCCTACCAAAGGTCTCTGACCTCCCAGAGACCTCTCAGGACAAACTTTATCACATTTTCCTGTGTGCATCACCACCTCCCAGCTTCAGTGCTTTGTGTACATAGCTGAGGTATCTTCACGGCTCGTATCACTTTCTTCCCAAAGCTGCCAAGGAGCCTTCTGGCTCCGCTCTATTGTCATTTGTCCCTAGCTGCCTGCTTCCCATGTCGCTGCCCCTGGAGAGGCTTCCTGGAGAGGCTGCTAGGGCAGAGCACCCAGCACATCTCTGAAGCACCCTGCATGCTTCTCTCTGCCCTTTATGCCCTCTGTCACAGCAGAGAGAAGAGGCCACAGTTGAAGCCTCGCCTGTGCACACCTGTCCATCCCTTCTGGCCTCTGAGAAGACACGCCCTTGCTCTCAGCCACCCCTTGCCCTGCGCTTTCCCCTGAGCTCCAGGGTCCTCAGTATCCCACTGGCTACTGGACACCACCACCACTGTGAATGTCTGTTCGGAATTTGCTGTGTCCCAAACAGAAGGAACGCATCTCCCTACCTTTCCCCGGCCCCGTGTATATCTTCCTTGGGCTTCCCCATCTTAGAAAATGACGGCTACATTTTTGTATTATACATTAATGTTTCCAGTTGTTTAAGCTCCATGCTTGAATTTATCAGTTGCTCGATCTCCCTGCCACCACCTTAGTGCCGGGCACTCCTTGCTTAGACTATCTCCCTCCATCTGGTCGGATCCTTCCTACAACCTGCTCTGCCCCACAGCAGTCCGAGTGGCATTTTAAAAACAATGTAAGTTGAGTCACATCACTTCCTGACTTCACAATTATTAGTGCTTCCCATTCTGTTTAGAATAAATTCTGCAAATCCCCCCTGGGAGCTGCCCACCTACCTGCCTCTCCAAGCTCCTTATAGCCCCAGGCTCAATCCTCAGTTCTAGCATTCTTCCCGTTCCTGGAACAAGCCAGCCTCTTTTTGCCTGTTATCCTTATGGCTTGAGTTTTTCCTGCCTGGGGCACTTGGCTGGACCTGTATATAGCTGGTTCTTTTTCCTTCAGAAAATGGTTTTAATTCAAAACCTTTACACTTTGACAGTCATTCCCCAACCAGCTTCCTTTGACCAGGGCTATTCTAATAGTCCTGATCACTTTATCTGTACTTTTCACACTATGGAGTTATCTTTTTTAAAACCATATTATTTGTCTCTCCCAGAACACGAGTTCCATAAAGGCAGTCATTGCTTTACTTTCAGTGTCTAGGAGTGTCCCAGATTTTAGCAGCTATTGAATGAATGAATGAGGAAGGAGCCTGGATCCTTGATGTTCTTCTGAAATCCATGCTTAGAGATCAGCCCTCGGTGGAGCTCAGGATCTGGAACCAAGAACAGGTGTATTTAAATTTTAAAAAGGTACCAACTAGTTGCATGACCTTCCAGTTTCATGACCTTCCTGTGCCATGGTTGGTTAATCTGTAAAATGAAAGCCATAGCGCCTGTCTCCCATGGTTGCTTTGAGGATTAAACAGAACAAAGCATAAATTGAGAGAATATATCAAGCCCTACCCAGCACATTGCCTCTGTTATGCTATGTCATATGAAGCTTTCTGTTCCGCCTTGTGTCCCTGTGACTGGTCCAGGGACCAGTCTAGTTCTATTCAATACATATCCATCCCACACACTGGGACACATTAAAAGTGTCAGCTCCATGGTAAGCAGTAAGTATTCAGACAGTGCAACGTAGTTTTGCTCTTGCTTTCCAAGACCTTTACTTTCAGGGTTAAGATAGCACATAAAAGGAGCTGAAATAGGAGGATGACACCATGAAAGAGAGAGCCATGGAGTGCACCCGGACTCCGGGGGACCCACGAAGTGCCAGGCACATCACTAGACCCTGGCTTGTCTGCATCTAAGACAGCACAGGACCCTGTGGGAGCCAGCAGCTGGTTTCACACCAGTTCTGTCACCAGGTCTCAGTGACACTGACAGATGGTCATCTCCAGCACCACATAAAGCAAGGGTGGTTGGTGCCAAATTAAGAAGAAAATCTTTGTGGGAGACTCTCAGAATCATTCTTGTAGAGTTCATAGCTCATTGTTTGTTTTTACTTGCATGCGATCTTTCTTCCCTCTCTCCTTTTTATTTTGAAAAAGTATCAGACTTAACAGAGAAGGCACAGAATATCTCCATGAATACCCCATACACTCTTCCTCTGGGTTTTCCAAACAGTAACATTTTACCACACTTTCTCATTGTTCTGTGTATAGATATTTCTTCTGAAGGTGCAGACATGCTGTTTCTTTACGCCTTACCACTTCAGTGTGCATTTTCCCCAAACGAGCACCTGTTCTGCGTGTCCACTGTCCTCTGCTCAGAACGATGAATGGACATCCGCACCAAACTGCAATCTGGAAACCCCCACCATGCCCATCAGCTCGTGTTCTTTGTAGCCAAAGAAAAACTCCTCCCTCACATCCTCTCCAGGGTCACATCTTGTATTGAGGGACCTTGGCTGTTGGCTTCTCTTAATCTGGAGCAAGATAAAGTTACTTGGATTTTCTTCTTTTATTATTTGATCCTTCCTATTCTTTTTATTCCTGAGGTACTGGGGATTGGACTCAGGGTTTTATGCTTTGCTGGGCAAGTGCTCTACCACTGAGTGACGTCACCAGCCCTTTTTCCTTTTGTGTTATTTTGAAGCAGTGTCTTGCTCAGGTGCTCAGGTTGGCCTCAGCTAGTAGCTGGACCTTGACGTTTTAAAGAGTAGAACATCCCTGACTTTGAGTGTTCCTGTTTTTTTCACACCTGGACCAAGGTTATGCAATGGGGGCAGGAGCCCTGCTCATGTGATGTGTCCTCAGTGTCATGGCAGAGGCACATGAAGTCTGGTCATCTCGTAATCGGTGGGTGACGTTCACTTTGGTCAGTGTGTTGGTGTGGTATCCGCCAAGTTCTCCACTGGAAGGTAGCTGTACTTCCTGGTGTAATTAGTAGACATTCCCTGGGGAGGTGTGTTAAAACCCAAGTATTCCGCCTCTCCTCACATTTGTCTGCTGCTTTTAGCATCTGATCCTTGCCTGAAACAGTCCTTACTTGTTCTCCTGATGCCCTAGACTGTGTTCACTTAGACCTCCTGACCCTCTCCGAGAGCTCTCAGGCCTGGAAGCAGTCTGCTTTCTTCAGACTCGAGTTTTACCGGTAAATACATTTCAAGTCTCATTTTCTAAGAGACGGGGATGGGGGAAGGAGAGTGGTATAGTAACGGACTTTTTAATATATTTTATTTAGACTCTTGCAAGTTGAAATCTCCTTTCACCTCAAAGGCATTGACCTTCAGACGATCCATTCCCGCGAGTTACCAGACTGTTACGTCTTTCAGAACACGGCAAGTGCCTTTGTTGTTTGACTCAGCCCCTTCCTGTGTTTTCTCTACTCCTTCTGTAGATGCAGAGTAGGAGTCACACCAGCCTCGAAATGTTAGACACCGTTGTGTTTGAGACAATTTTAGTGATGATTTATGGTGTCGTCGATCCGGAGACCATTGCTTCCAAACGTGCAGCAAGTCCTTTCCAACTAGTTAAGGCCAGATTTCTGAGTCAACAAGAAGAGTCTTCAAAATTGGTTTCCAACCCCAACTATCCTGCTATAATAAAAGAAATATTCATGACAAGTAATTTAACTATCTATAGTATTTTCCCTAGCTTTGAAGGAAGGTCTTTGCAAATGTTATAGCAAATATTTCTAAAGAAGCTCCCTTAGTCCATGAAGGAGCAGTTGCTTCTCCTTTTATTTTTTGAGGTGCCGTGTTCATGGGATTTTATGTCGTCTTTCTTTCCCCATCCATCCTTCTTCCTTCTCTCTGTTCTTCCTTTCTGTTCTCCCTTCCTTCCTATCAGATTGGCTAAAGGGCCAAACTGGAGGCTTGCTTGAGAATTCTATAATCTGTCCTTCAGCAATTTAGGAGAGTACTTCATTCAACACCAAATAATAAATATTTATGAGTCCCTTCTCTGCTCCAGGCATTTGCTGTGTCCCAGAGGCAAGCAGCCCTCAGCAGCCCATAGCCCTGTAGAGGGAACAGACAGAAAACTAAAGAAAGAAACAAAAGGAAATGCAGATGAAATATTTGATGTCTCAGTCAGTTTCTGCTGCTATAACCGAATACTATAGGCTGGGAAATTTATAAACAATAGAAGTTTATTTGACTTCTAGTTCTAGATACTGGGAAGTCCAAAATCAAGAGGCTGCATTTGATCAGAACCTTCCTGCTGTGTCATAGTATAGCTGAAGGTGTCACACAGCAAGAGAACAAGAGGGGCCTCTTTTATAGCAAACCCATTCTGGAGAAGACTTGCCCCTGTGGTGATGACATCCACCCACTCATGAAGGCAGAGTCCTCGTGATCTGTTCCCCTCTCACAGCCCCTACTGCCCAGTCACAGTGGCAGGAGGATTAAGTTTCTAACCTATCAACTGGGGGATGTGTTCCAAGAACAGGCTGAGAAGATTGTGTTGACCTCCCCGGGGTGGGTGGGCAGGCAGCACAGGGAGCCCCTAGAGGGATGAGGACAGAGGTAGCAGAGAATCGGGGAGAAGTAGGGCCCTCAAGGAGGTGGTCACTGATGACTGTTAGGGCATGGTCAGCAGTGTGGGTTAAACAATTGGTGTTACATTTGTTTTTGGGTTTTTTTTTTCTTATTCCTTTGGACATTGTATCAGTGTTTACTAGAGAAACAGATATAGCACAAGATATACAAATACATAAGAATTTACAAGATTGGCTTACAGTGGCCGCCCGCAGAGTCAGATGAGGAAGAGTGCAGCAGAGCTGTCCGCACACTGGAGACCGAAGGACTCAGTCCAAGGTCTGGAGCTCACTGCAGTGTGCTGCGCGAGTCCATGGTAGAGAGTCTCCTCCAGAGGGCTGAGGAGTCTGTGCTGGAATCCAGCAGACGATGTCCAAGGTGAGGGTGAAGACTGGCGCTTCTCTGAAGAAACAGAAGCAGATCTGTCCTCCGCCATTCATACCATCCAGACTCAGTCCAATCTGGAGCTCACTGCAGTGTGCTGCGCGAGTCTATGGTAGAGAGTCTCCTCCAGAGGGCTAATGGGTCTGTGCCAGAAGCTGAGGAGTCTGTGCTGGAATCCAGGAGACGATGTCCAAGGTGAAGGTGAAGACTGGCGCTTCTCTGAAGAAACAGAAGCAGATCTGTCCTCCGCCATTCATACCATCCAGCTGACAAGCCACACTAGAGGGGTCTGCCACACCTTGGGGTGTGGAATAGCCAAGCCCATTTAGCTGAGCTTCTCTTACTCAAGTCAGCACAATGAATCAACCACCACAGACCTCTATCTACTTAGGGTTCCAGAGGCTTGAAGGAGGTGTTTTAGGGGCTCTCTGAGGGGAAACAGGCCACTTCCAACATCAGTGAGGTCTGTCCTAGCTGACAGGTGTAGAGATGGGGCCGCTCTGCACCGCGGTGTGTCTTAGTGATGCTCTTGGGTGGCACAGAACTTGGCTTGTATTTAGTGATGCGCAGATGCGTTTGGATTTGGTCACCTACCCACTCAGCCCTGTTAGCTCTGTTACGAGGTCCTGTTGTTTCTTCATGTGTCCACTCTGAAAACTACTTGGCATGTATCACCTATAAACTTGAAATGGGTTCAGTAATTGTTTAAAGTTCCATAATGGGGAGGATTGACGTCCCTCAGTCATCTGAAGTCTGGCCTGCACCCTGTCATTGCTGAAACCATTGTACGTATGTGTGTATGCAACTCTTGGGACAAACAGAAAAATAATGCCCAGGCTGGTAAATACCTAGAATTTCATACCAGGCATCTGAGTTGAGGCAAGTGCTTCCAATTCCATTCCGTGTAGTATTTCAGGTAGTCGCATGCTCCTGTCAGATTGGGAAATTCTTACTTTAATTTCTGGGACTGGTTGGCTGCTTTTCTCTAGGATTTCTCCAAAACAGAGAGCTGAAATCCTAGATTCAGTAAAACTTCATGTATGCATCCTTTATACTGTATTTTTTCACGAATCCTAGAGAGTTGTGAAGAATGGAAAACATTTTCGTCAGTATAGTGCTCTTTGGGTCAGCAGACCTTTGGATGCCACGGATTTTTAAAGCAGAGTTGACGTAACAAGTCGTACTTTCTGCTAGGCTAAAACTTCTCAATCTCTTGTGTCTCCAGATCATCTTTGACAATAAAGCTCACAGTGGCAAAATCAAAATCTATTTCGACAGCGAAGCCAACATTGAGGAATGTAAACCTTTGAACATATCTGGATCTAGTGAGTATGCTATCTGTTGTCCCTTTGTGGCTTATAGAATGGTTCTTCATACTTTATTTTGGGATTTGCAGCATTTAAGTGGATGATTTGGATGGTGATTAGAAGTAAAGGTTCCAGAAACCATATTTGGAACATTAGATTCTGTAAAGCATGTCCCCTAGATTTGTACTTTTAATTTCAGCATGTGTGAGTCACACAACACACCTGGAGAGATAGTATGACTTGGTGGTTAGGAACTCAGGCTTTGGAGCCAAACTGCCTGGGTTTACATTCTGGTTCTGTTTCCTATTTCTGTGTGCTGGACAATTTTATAACCTCTGTCTCATTATCTTTCTCTGCAAAATAAGGGAAGTATTAGCATTTGCCTTTAGAATGTTAAGTATTAAACCAGTTAGTATGTAAAGCGAACTACTGAGAACAGGAGTTGGTGCATATGAATCGCTGTTTTGTAAAAAATACCTCTTAATCACAGATTTCGAATGAGTTGTTAGACCCTGTTCGGTGTGCTGTGGGGAGGGTTGGAAATGAAGCCCAGCCCACATGACTTAGTGAGACCCTGCCTCAAAATAAAAATTGGAAAAGGGTTGGGAATGAAGCTTAGTGCGAAGGCCCTGGATGCAATCCCCAGTGCCACCAAAAAGCAAAAATAAAGCAAAACAAGACAGAACAAAAACCCCAAGGCATCCTTTTGATCAGATTATCAGAATGAAATTAGATGTAAAATACCTGTGGTTTCTGTTTTAAACTATGTTTGATTTGCGGCCTGCTGCTTTTCATTTGTATAACTTAGCCCGTGGGTTTTTGAAGTGGCTTTAATTTTTTTTTTTTTAATTTCAGTTTCAGTAGTTCTTCTGACCAGAATGCAGTTTCAGTTTCTGTTCCAAGTGGTTCTTCTCCTAGCAGACAGCACATTGCACAGGCACAGAACAGATGCATATTTTCCAAGTCCATCCACAGGGTGCAACTATTTAATGAAAACAACCAAACGCTAGCCTTCCTGTGTGTAAAATGTGATTTGGGATTATCATCATAAAGAAAGAAACAAAGAAGGAGCTGCTGGGTCAAATCTGTGCCCAGGCCAGGGTTCTTTCCAACTTCGGTGATTTCCTTGCCTGGGCTCAGACAAGGGAGCTTGGGCTCCCTTCAGTGGCCAATAAGGAGAAACACAACCCTCACAGACCCGTGAGGAAAAACGCTGGAATTCAAGTGTGCTCTCCTCATGTGATGCTTTAAGAAACCAGATTCTATCACTAGGAGGATACAAATTGAAAAGAAAATGAGGAGATGTGGAAGACTTAAAATGTTGAAATTTGGAAACCAGTTTAGCAAAATTTTTTTTCCTTTTGTGCATGAAAACTATCTGGTGAATTGAGATTGCCCTGGTTTTGGGGGAAGTAGAACAAGGGCCAGGGCGACACCTGGTGGCTCTTTAGAGCATTTCCACGATATTCTGCGGTTCCTTCTTCACATGCCTATCCTAGCGCTCCAGGCTTCCTCTGGCTTTTCTCATTATCGTATTATCTTAAAGCTACATATGCAGGGGTGTCCTTTTCTCCATATAGACCCCACGTATGAATCCCGCCGCCCCTCTCCAAAGTGCACTGCTGATCTTCATCTAATTGCATTTCATCCATATAGGACTGGAGGGCGGGAGCTCTGGGAGGGTTAGTGTGCAGGGTACCTCGTGGGTGGGATTTGAATGGTGTTCCAGACTAATGGGTAATAAATCTCCACAGCCCTGGGTCACAGTCCCACAGCAGACCTGTGGGGTGTGCAGGGCTTCCAAGCCCTGCGGAGGAGGGGAGTGGAGCATGGGCTTCCCTAGCCAGGTTGGTAGGGCAACTTTCTGACTTGTATTTTTCCAAGGCCAGCTTTGAGAAAGGTTCTTGTAGGGTAACATAGTTTCAACAGAGTGAAAAATTTCAATGTTTACACCCCCTTTTAAAAAGCCATCCAACTAATCTTCAATAATTCAAGGAAAAAAACAATACTGGATACCCTGTTACTGGGGCTAGTTCATTTTCTAGATGTGTTTGTTTTCCTCTCTATATTTAAGACCCAATACAATAAAGGGAGAGATTTTTGTTCTAGGTACATATAGCCCTGAAAGGAAAGTATCAGACTCTGTCCTTGCACATCCTAAGATTTTCCACCCCCATCTCTCCCAGAACAGCCACTACTTCCTCTGCTCCATCCCATAGCCCTAGCCGGAGAGGCACTTGTATTTTGGTAGAGCTAAATCACTGTGCTATGGTGATGGTTCACGATAAATTTCTTGACTGTAAAATAGCAAGGTAAATAAACGCAGGCACTCTGTCTTACCAGTTCTCAGGCCGGTGCTCGGAGTTAATACGATGCTAGCAGTGGAGCCACACACTCCTGCCGCGAGGTTTGCTGTCAGCCCCTCTCTGGCCTTCCTTCTCCATCTAGTTTCTGAGTTCGTCTCTCTTTAAATTCTCAAACATTGCTGCTTCCCGGTCTGCTGGTTCTAATGGCTGTCCACATCTGTTGCTTCATCCTCTCCTGTCTTGATCGTCCAGACTGGACTCAGTTTACCCAGATGGAACCGCAGGTGCCTTTCCCAGGTGTTCCTACCCCTGGGTCCATTGGCGAGCAGGCTGGGACCCATTCCTTGATCTCTCGTAACCCCACACCCTCTCCTCTCGCCTGTGATGTGGCTGCCCCCCCTCTGCAGATCCTTGGGGGCCTCCTGGGGCTCCACTGTGGCTCTTCACTTACTGGGAGCACGCTGAGGTGTTGTGCTACACGCAGGTGCTGTGTGTTAACACTGCTCGGGCACTCGGAGGGGAAGACGGACACTGAAAGTCCACACCGGGAGTGTTGGTTATTTTCCTACAGCTGTTCCAGGGCTTTGCACAGGGGAATTTGAGAAATCCTCACAACGGCCCCATGGTGTGGGCTTCATTACCATTGTTCTACCCACCTTTCAGAGGAGGAAGCTGAGACTCCGCTTATGCAGCTTCTCCCGGACTCCGGACTCCGTAGCTCTGACTGCAAACCTGAGACTCAGAGGCGCGCTGCCCTCTCACCTCACACTGTGTCCTCCGCCCTGTGCCCCTGGGAAGTACAGTGGCCGGCGTGCAGTGGGGAGCACAGGAGCTGGGGAGGGGGGCGTGGTCCCAGTCAGTGCTGTGACAGAGCAGGAAGGGCTAACAGAGATGACAACAGGGGAACTTCTGTCTGATATGGGGGATTTCAAGGCTGAGACCTGATGCGGAAAGCAGATAATGCGTGGGGGATGGGTGCTGTCAAGGCAGTGGGACCAGCCTGGCACAGTCCCTGAGTGAGGACCGGGAAGGAGGAAGAGGCACCAGTGTGGCCACAGAGTGGGGCAGGTGGGAGTCGGGCGGGAGCCGGCCGAGGCTGGACAGTGGCGCGCGCAGGCAGGGTGGGTGCCACTCGGGCAGCTCCGTCTCCCTGGGGAACCTGCTCCCTGGCACTGAGTTCCAAAGGAACAGTCTGATAATAGACGGCTTTATTTCCATTGCAAGTTCTTTTCTCTTCCTGTAGAAGAAGCTTATAAATTGGCGCTTTTTGCTGGGAACGTGCGCATCAGTGAGGCCGAGAAGCAGCAGAGAGGCTGCCGGGCAGCGGCGGCTCCATCTGCCCCCTCAGTAGTGACGAGCGTGTGCCCTGCTGTGGGCAGCTTGGTGAGGCGGTGTCCGCGGATTGGGACGGAGCTCAGAGGGGTCGTCTTCGGTCGAGCTGCGCACCAAATGCTTAGACATACGCTTTAGTGCTTTTGTGAATAGATTTGCAGTGGACAAGTATTCACATCAGGGGATATTTTGCCTTACTTGTAAACTTGTGAACGAGTGCCGGAGGATCCCTTTCTGATAGTTGTTATTTTATTTTGACAGTAGACAAAACATTTTTTTCATTTGAACTTCTTTTCATTGGCCAGTTTTGCTTGAGAATTATTCTCAAGTAACGTTTCTCATGGAAATTATTCTCGTGCTTAACATTTTCACTCTGTTTTGCTCTTCAGCTCAGAAAAACACTCAGTATGTACTGGTGTTCGACACATTGGTCATTTTGATTTGCCTGGCATCCCTTGTTCTATGCACAAGATCCATTGTCCTTGCTCTGAGGCTGCGGAAGGTAATGTGTTTGCATTTTCTCCGCCCCTTGGGGCCTGCACACACAATTCGCCTAAAGAGTGGGCTGCTGGTGTGGGGCCTCCCTGGACCAGTGACTGGGTTCATGAGGTGCTAATCAGCCTGAAGTGTAGGACGTCCGGTCGGGGCTCTGGCTGGTCAGGTGGGACGAGCTACTTACCCTGCTTACAACTGATCTAAAAAGCAGGGCCGCACAATGAGGAACTTTTAAGCCTTTGGATGTTTCCAGAACACATGGAACCCTTTTAAATTCAGGAGCAATCTTAAGAACAGAGTAATGGCACGTTTGGGTACCATCTTTTGTCTTCAAATCAGAGCTCCTTTTGACAGGGAAGCATGGTAAATGAGTTACAGTGAAGCATAAACTACTTTATTCTATTTTTAAAATAGTTTAAAAATTCTGAGTTTCATGTCACCTTTCTGCCCTCAGGGCTGTTAGGAATATATACTCTAGCTGCACACAAATCTCATGCTGGTTTGTGGTGTCTGTAAATGTCTACTGGGGTCAGGAGAGCTAGGAAGTCATTGTGGTACCATTCATAAAGCAAGGAAGTAGTTTATGCTCTGGTGTCCTTGATCTTGACTGCTGCCACCTCACTGTGTAAAAACCCACCTCCCTGAGCTGCCCTCCAATCCTCTCAATGGTCTGAATCCAAGGTTCAGGTCCCACCTCTGGCAAATCGAGGGGGTAACACTGGGAGCACACACTCTGGAGCTGGCCTGCTTGGACTCGGGTCCTGGCTTGGCCTCTCTGTGCCTCAGTTTCCTCATCGCCATGACGGTGAATCGTACCTAGGTCACAGGGCAGTCATTGGCATGAGTGAGCTGCTCACACGCCAAGTATTTGGAACACACCGTGTTAGCTATTTTCACAAGCTTCAGATATATGTATTTAATATTTGGGTTAATCTAGCAGGTACTCAGATACTTGCTTACTGCTGGGGTAGGTGACAGGGAAAAGTGTATTCCGTAGTGTTCCGCCGTGAAGTGGACCTACAAGTTGGAAATGGTGATGCCACACTGTTTTTATAGATAAAAGCACCATTTTGCACTTGTTCTCCTTCCACGGGGCAGTGAGGTTTGTAAAAATACATGTTTAAATGTTTGCTGTAGAGATTTCTAGATTTCTTCTTGGAGAAGTACAAGAGACACGTGTGTGACGCTGACCAGTGGGAGTTTGTCAACGGATGGTATATCCTGGTGATCGTCAGCGACCTGATGACTGTAGTTGGATCCATATTAAAAATGGAAATCAAAGCAAAGGTGAGGGCAGCCCACTTCCGACCTTTGGTTCCTTATCTGAAGCTCTGGCATCCTAAGATGTGAAATCCTGAGGAAGAGGAGTTTGGGTCTCAGGTTTTCTCTTTCATCACGCCCATGCGCATGGGTTGATTGATTCCTCATGGAGGGAAGAAGGAAGCTGGTGTGCTGGGTGGGGGTTGTGATCTGCCCTCAACTGCACTCCGGGAAACTTGGCAGCATCTTCAGAATAAGAACTGAAGCTTGAGAAAATTGTTATTTGGGTTTTTTAAGTTGCGAAAGGAGCAGTTGCCCATAAATCAGTCACCTCTCTGGATCATGTGCGGAGACCCGGTTGTGACCCTCGGGTACCCGGATGGGTGTGAGGAGGGCAGGAATGCTGGCGCGCCTACCAACGCCTGATGTGTTGCGTGAATGTGTTGATTTCCTCTCCTAACTAGGCCTGGCTCATCTGGCACCTAGTTGTTCTCCTCTGGACTCTGTGTGGCCGGCCAGTCTCACCCCGCTGACCTCCCCACCACGGCAGTGCCCCTTGCTTCTCCTTCCCGGCTGCCTCTGGCTGTTTCACGCTGCTTTTTCTCCCACCTGCACTGCCACCGCAGCCTCGTGGATTTCCGGTCTTCCGCCTTCTGTTCCCCGATCCATCCACCCAGCTGCCTTAGGGGCTTTTCTGCTGTTAGCGGCCTTTCAACCTCTGCGACTCACTTTAGGGGAAGTGGCCTCCCTTCAGCCTGACCCTGGGGTCACCCCATCCACTCTGACTCTGCCTCCCGGTCCCACCCGGGTCTCACCGTCTTCCAGGACAGCTGGCAGTACGAAGCCTTTGCTTCTCTTCCCTCTTTGTCCATTTGCCCAAGGAGCTTTTCCCTGCCATTCTACAGGTGCAGCTGTGTGCAGGTGCCTCAGCCATGGGAAGTGGGCGCAATCTCTCATCGCTCCTGGTTTATTATGTTAGAATTGTGCTTGTGTGCTCCTCTCCTCACTAGACCTAGCATTCCTTGTGAGCCGGAGCCGTGTCAGGAGATCATGTCGGAGCTTGCCTTCACAAGCAGCTGAAGAGTATTGCTTGGTCTTTAACAAACAGGATTAGCTTTTTGTTTTGTTTTGTTTTGTTTATGTCCAGGTCAGTGGTAGAAGCAATTTCCATTGCAGGATGGCATCTGGAAAAAAAATAGTTCAACAAATTGAAATAGTAAAAGGAAATAAGATGCACACATTTGGAACTGTGTTCTTCTTTGCTCTTAAAAAAAATTCTTAGCAGCTTCTAGACATGGTGAGCAAACCTGGAATATCAACATTCTGGGAGACTAAATCAGAACGCCAAGCTCACTGGGCGGGGTGGCACATGCCTATAATCCCAGCACTTGGGAGGCTGAGGCAGGAGGATCGCTGTGAGTTCAAGACCACCTTGGGCTGCATAGTGAGTTCCAGGTCATTCTCAACTACATAGTGAGACCCTGTCTCAAAAAACAAACAATGCCAAACTCAAGCCCAGCCTGGATGGTTTAGCAGTTTTGCAATACCTTGTCTCAGAATAAAAAATTAAAATGGCTGGGAATGTAGCTCAGTGCAAAAGCCCTGGTTTTAATCCCCACCACTGTAAAACACATAGGGAGGCAGATAGCGCATTCTTTCTAAACCATGTAAAGCAAGGTAAATAAGGAGAGTGGAGTAGAATATTTCACTCAACTGTCTTTTTTTTTCTTCATTCCTTAGAATCTCACAAATTATGATCTGTGCAGCATTTTGCTTGGGACGTCTACGCTCTTTGTTTGGGTTGGAGTCATCAGATACCTGGGTTATTTCCAGGCATACAACGTAAGCATTTAGCACTGGGCAGTGTGCCACAACTGAGAGTCGTTTATCCCTTGGGCTGTCATAGCTGCTTTTTCATTTCCCCCGTTCTGTTAATTTCGGATTTTTTTCAGGTGCTTATACTAACAATGAGAGCCTCGCTGCCAAAAGTTCTCCGGTTCTGCGCCTGTGCTGGTATGATTTACCTGGGCTACACGTTCTGCGGCTGGATTGTGCTAGGACCATATCACGAGAAGGTGGGTGGCCCTGGTTTTTCCTTCTGCACACCAGCTGTGTGGGACCCTCCTGCACTGCCCGCTTCTCAGTCTCCTCTACCTGCACCCTCGATATAAAGAAGCAGATAGCTTTGTTTTGATGTTTTTCTTTTCTTTTCCTCTTTGGGATACTGAAGTGCCTTTAAGATACTGGAACTATGGAAAGCAACTGAAGCACACGTGTCGGAGTTGCCTGGGACAGACTTGAGGGTCACACATACACCCAGCTGATCATCAGATGAAAAACAGTTGGGCACATGATCGCTAGAGTAAAAAACTAAAAATTAAATGAGGAAAATTACTACAAAATCTGTCTAGTTCAAAGTGTTAAGATTTTCAACCAAGGTAATTGAGACAGAAGTGGATAAAGACTCCCTGAAGTGACCATCTCACTTCTGGTTGTAAGGAAAGCATGTCTTGTCATAGCAGGTGGTTTTGATAATATTATCATCTTTATGTGTTTTAAAAAAATCGGAATCTGAGGTTCAAACTATTACTGAGCTTCAGTCGGCATCATAATATCAAGAACATCAAAGTCATGCAAAGATGTTCTTATTTTAAAATAATACATTTGCTTGCTAGGTACTTCAGGAAATGAAATGACCTAGGTTTTCAACCTACAAATGCAGAAGGGGTTATTTCACCATGTCGTTTTTATCCATGGTCCTGTGGCTGTTGGGAGAACAGAAAACAAAACAAAACAAAACAAAACAGCAGCTAACACTTGCTGTTTGCATGTTAAACATTATGCTGAACTTTTCTGTATTCTCTCTCATTTCATCCCCCCCAACTCCCCAGATTATCTTCAGATCCCCCGCAAGGAGAATAGAAGTAAAACATGCAAAAAATTGCTTCCAAGTTTGTGTAACAGTTCAACCCTAAATTGAGCTGTTTTGATCTTGATAGCTCTGTTATCCAAAATAAGTGATCAGGGCTGGGGATTTAGCTCAGTGGTGCCACCACCTGCCTTGCAAACATCATAAGGTCCTGAGTTCAATCCCCAGGACCACAAAAACAAACAAACAAAAAACAAAATAAGTGATCAAATCTGGTTCACAAACTGTTCATGAAGAGTGTTGTCCACAAAGCCCAAACCTTCGTGTCCTACCGGAAGAAACCCAGGGACCTGGCATGCTAAAGCTTTCTTCTCTTCATGTCACATTTAATATGTCCATAGAGAATTACTGTTTGAAATGCCAATAATTGACAGTGATGACCTCCGGATTAATAGTAAATCTTATTACTTTTCAAATCCATGTCATGCTTGGAATGTGACTCGTGAGTAAAAATTGTTCCAGGATATGATATCTCTGAACTAGAGAATTTGCTGTCTTAGCACTCAAGAAAATTTAGGTTTTTCTTCCTCCTTTCCTCCTACTCTAAAAGCGTCTCTACTTCTTTGTCACTAGAGGGCAGTGTTGCACCACGTGGAGGAGAAAAGGAGCCTACCGATTTGGCTTTAATTCATTGTCTGCAAGACCTTAGGACAAGTGGTCCTGTCTCCTTCTGATCTCTCTCAGCCTGTCATTATTCTGGAAGGTGGTCAGTTAATGTTGCTTGAATTTTACTAAATGACTATCATTCTGAAGTGCTATTTGTTAGGCACTGTGCTCAAATTCTTTATCTCCCTTGTTAACCCTAATCAGTCAGCTTTCCATCGCTGTGTCAAAATACCTGAATCAACTTTTAGGCAGGAAAGTATATTCCAGCTCATGGTTTCAGAGGTTTCAGTCCATGGTCACTTGGCCTTACTGTCTTTGGGCCTTTGTCAAGTATATCATAGAGGGAAATCTGTTCACCTCATGGCAACTGGGAAGGAAAGAGGAAGATAGGAAGAAGTTGGGGTCCCAACAACTCCTGCAAGGGTCCTCCCTGATGACCCAACTTCCTCCCACTAAACGGCAAAGACGGGATTCAAATCCCAGTCTACCTAACCTCAGCGCACGTACCTAACTTTGACTGATGCTTTCCTTGGCATTGTCTAAAGCTTATCATTTAGTTTGACCCAAGACAGAGGATGGTACTTCCAGATTAACTGTGAGGGACATGTCACCTAATCAGTCTGATGTGTGTGTCAAGATCACCCCTGCAGAATGAGAGTATTTGCTCTGGGAGCCTGACTGCATTTCCATATGTTCAGTTTTGTGCTTTCAAATGACTTACGTGAACTAGGATCCTCTGGGCAAGCACTGCTCAATAAAAATATAATGTGAGCTACAAATAGGAGCCATGTGTATACTTTGAAGTGTTCTAGGAGCCACATTGAAAAATAATGAAGAAACAAATGAAATTGATTTTAATTATATTTTTATTAAACCTAGTGTAGCTAAAATATTATTTCAGCGTATAAGCAATATAAAATATTGATATTTTTTACATTTGGGGGGTACTAAGTCTTCGAAATCTGGTGTCCTATTATTATGTAGCCACCGCACATCTCAAATTGGATGAGTGTTATGGTTTAATCTAGAATGTCCCCCAAAAGGCTCTGTGTTCAGAGGCTGGGCTTTTGTAAGGCAATTAGATCACAGAGGCTGTGTATTTAGCAGAGGGAAATGTGCTGTTAGGAGGAGGGGTCTGGCCGAAAGAAGCAGGGCACTGGGGTGTGTTCCCACCCTGGCTCCGCCCTGTGCTTCCTGGCCGCCATGAGCTGAGCAGCTGTCCTCCCCTAGGCCCTTGCACCTTGCCCTTTCTGCCTTGGCACCAGCCAACTCTAAACTAAACCTAAAAATGTGCCGCAATAAACCTCCTTTAAGTTGTGGGTTTGGGGCATTTTGTCTCAGTGACAAAAAAAAAACTGAGAAAGGTAGTGAGCGACATGTCAGGTGCTGAGGGCTCACATGTGAGTGAGTGGTCAGCACTGAGGACGCTGCACCACTTGATGTGGCTCCCACTTAGTGTGAGCTCCTCTGTGCCCCTCTGGGGGAGCAGATGGAGGAGGGCTGTCTCTAGCACTGCCCGGCAGGTCCATTTATGATCTCTCTCTCTCTCCGTTCTGTAGCCAGGCTGATTGGGGAAATGCATAGGTGAGTTCATTCAATGAATGTACAAGTCGGAGCAGCAAAAGAATTTTAGTCTGGTTTTGGACTTCTGTGCTTTTCTGCTTCATACTGCTGTTTATTTGAATCTGAAATTAGAAAATTTCTAAAATTAGAAACTGTCAAACCTTCTGTACCTCCCCAAATTAATCCAGTGTCAACATTTTCAGATTCTGTCCGTATCTCTGCTGAATCAGAGGAAACTTCAGTGTCCCCCAAAGCCATGAAAAGCTAAGCACTATTACAAGCATTTTCTAGCATTTTTTAGATCATAGTAACCTTGAATGTGAAGGTTAATTCTTCCATTAAACCAAACTCTAAAAAAGAGGTATCAGATTTTCAATTATTGACAATGTGAAACAGGAAGAAAAGGGCTAAAGGTGTAGGGGAAGTGGGTAGGGTAGGGGAAAGGAAACAAGGGGAAAATATGAGAAAATGAAAAAATGGAAATAAAGTATTTGCAAATAGGGAAAGGAGGAGTGGGTGAAGAGAAGGCAGGGACAAGGGGAAAAAATGAGAACCAAGACCTGTCATGTAAAGGTACAAGATCCCAATGATGAATGTAACTGTACTGTACCCCTAAAATGTACCAATAAACTCAGAGAGAGAAAAAAAAGAGGTATCAGGAAAATTGTAATTTGGCACTGCTGTTTGATTGGTAGCTAGTCTCACCATTTTAGCTTCCCATCTTCCTTTATGACATCTAATTTCATTGATTCAACTAAAGGGAACAAAGGTATGAAAAGGGTCCTGCTGATGTTCATTTCCAGCACTAATGGACTTTGGCGCTGTGCCCTTTCGAGTTGTCTGGGCACAGAGAGCCAGAGACTGTTGATGTTCTTCCAGACCTCATCTTGAATTATTAAACATAACTTTAATGTGGATTTTACATTTCCAGAGGACTTTTCTTTCTGCGAGGGATAAGTAATAATCTTGCACAGTTCCCATTTTACAAATTAGAAGACCAAGGCATTGAAAACTTGTTGGACTTTTTTTTTTCTTTTTTTTTTTTTGGACTTTTTGATGCTATGGGTAAAAACCTGCAGACCCTGCATGGCACTTTAATGATTCCAGGTTGCTGGGTTTAGCCAAATACCTCTCTTATTTAAAAGAACTGCAAGCCAGTTAAACGTTCCACCTAAATGTTGCATGAGATTCTTGCCGCCAGCTCTTGAAGCGAACTTTTATGTCATTCTCTGACTCGAGCTATTGCAGGTTGTGTTTACATCCAAATGAAAGTTCTTTTTAGCTCAACCACAAAATCATCTGTGAAATGGATGTTTGGTTTCTCATTGTGGTTCCATAGAATCTATGGGGACTCTAATGGAAATGCCCATGTAATATTTATTAAATGTCTACTGTGTGCTAAATCTTGCCAGATTCTTCTACACTGAGTTCTTGGAAGGTAGGGACAGTGGCTTCTTTCTCTTTATATTCCCAGAGTCCAGGCTGCTGCACAGAATGTGACAGGTGCTCAACACGTTTGTTGAAGAGAAACAGCAGTACCTGCTTTCCAGGGGCTTACAGTCCCCCAAGTACCAAGCAGTGCCGTATCTGTGGTCCTGCTGGCTGGAAACACATTAGGACCTTACATTGGCAGTATTCCATTGCTGTAGAATTTGGCTGCTGGAAGTGATTCTGGTTCAGAGCCAATTATTGTAATACAAAGATGATAGGCTGTGTGCTACTTAATTTATTGGGTCTCTGCTAGAGTAAAATAATTTTTATGTGCACACAAGAAAGAGGGTCCAAGGGTTATAAATAACATTGTGATGAGATAGATATTGTGTCTATACATCTAATAAATAAATACACAAAAAAAACTAAGAAGTAGAGTTGATAAGTATTGACCACCTCACTGTTTGCAGTTCTGAAACCTGAAGTACAGACAGCTAAGAATTATTGAAACTAAATAGAGGAATCAACCAGATTGCAAAAGAAGTTATAAGAGAGATGCAGCTTTCAGAGTTATAACTGACTTCTATAGAAACCGGCTTTAACTTCAGGTTGAAGGCTAGTGGAGAAAATGGAAAATAATTTATACTGAGAACTGCCTGCCTTGCTATTAAACAATCTGTGTACTAAATGATTTGTTTAACTGAATCTTCCCTTCAGCTCCCTACAGAGAGTGACTGTAGCCCAGCTCATCAGAGCTGTGGATTTGACAAAGGTGTGGGTATAACCACCCTCAGACTTACCTTGTCTGGTCTAGCCATGGGCCAAGAAGTGTGAGACATGGTATTTGCTATCCAACTAGAGTACACAAAAGTATACATAGAAGCAATTAGAAGAGTATCCCACAGTTTACTCCAACTCTTGCTGATACAGAGAACAGAGAAGGGGCTAGAGCTGCCAGAACAGTCTGTCTCTTCAGAGACATTGAATTAGCCCTTGAATATTGATTTGATTGGACACAACAGAAGACGAAGAACATAGGTGATGAAGAAAATAAATCCCGTGAGGAAAAGACCTAGCAATAGCCAGGTGATGTGGAAGGAGGTGGGATGTTAATACTGATGATGAGGTGACTCAGTGAGACCCGGGCTGAGGAGCTTACGCCAGCCTTCTTGGTTTGGGTTTTTACTTTCCATCTAGGTATTGTATAACCTTAAGAAAGAGAAGTGACCTGAAATCCATATTCGATGAAGTTTGAGTTTACCTGCAGCAGGGACTGGAGGGTGAAGAGGTTGGCGACTTCCCTGGAGGTTTCTGTAATAATTCAGATCCAAGTGTTGACACTGAGTGGAGCAGAAAGGACGGATCAGAGAAAGATGTCGTAGGAACAGAAAACCTTAGAAGACTGAAGGGAATGAAAGATTAATGAATAAGTATTTTATTATTTTGAAGCAAACATTTCTTTGGTAGGAGATGAACCAATGAAAAGACAGAAATGTGGAGGGAAAGCCCCTTTCCTGGTTAGGGTGGTGGGAGCTTTATTTTATTGCATGGGAGGCAGCAGCACAACTCCCAGGTGACGATGCCTCAGGCGCTCATCAAGGACTTAACCCCAAAGCCAAACTGACTTCATGGACACGTGGCCCCTGATCTGTAAGGGCAGAATGGGGTTCACTGCTGCACAGTAACTCATTTCATCCATGTGTGTGAAGAGCATATTGTCTTTTGCCTATCAGGTCCTTAACACTCTTTGGAAGTTTTTCATGTTCGGCTAATGTTTAACCAGAATCATGCTCTTCGTTTGGTGGATACTGCGGTAGCTTGTCAAGCCCTCAAAGCCAGGGTAGCTGACGTAGAGTTCCAGGGGTATCCACGTCCACCCATGTCTGTTCCTGAGCTCTAGGTGGACACCTGCAGCCAGTCCACTTCACACCAGCCTTTCTGCCTGGCGCCTCAAATTTATCTTTTCCCAGTCTGAGGCCATTAACACTCTCTTGCCGTAGCCCTGCCCCAGATGTATATTCTCTATATTCTCCCTGTTCTTCTCCTTTTCCAGCCAGGGCTGTTGTGTCTCACTGGGATCCTGCAGGTGCCTCTGACTGGGCTTTTCCCATTCTCCTGCATGCCTTTGGTTACTTTGAGAAACCTAGATCAGGCCATGTCACTCCTCAGTTGGAATTTCTTTCGTGGGCTGAACGGAGCCTTCAGCAGAAGGCCCAGCGAGGCTCCAGGCGGTGTGGCACAGCTGTCCTCTCTGCCACCACGCTGAGGCTCAGTCCCTACTTCACCATCGTCACCAAGCACATCCTCTCTCTCCCCCTCCCGCCAGAGAGCCCACTCTGAGGGCCACGTGCCTTGTTCTGCCCCCTCAGCTCTTCCTCAGGGCCTCATTGTGTATGGTGTCAGCGGCTTATCAGCTTGGTAGGATGGGGGTCCTTGGAGGGCATTAGCCATGATTATTCCACCTTCAACACTTCCTATCGCTGGCAGCTTTGAGGTTTTTTTCCTTTGTTTTGTTTTTTTTTTTTTGTACCAGGAATCAAACTCGGGGCCTTGTACTTGCCAGGCAGGTACTACACCGAGCTATGTCCCCAGCCTGCTTTTGGCTTTTAATGTTCTAACTACCTGGATCTGTGGTTGGAAAGGCTATGGGAAGCCATTCATTTAACAAAGTTTTCCAACCCTTCACTGTGTCCCAGTTGCTTCCATATGTGGTTGGTTGCGGTTCCTCCAGAAAGCAGTTTGGCAGGTGACAGCCTTAGCCTGGCATCGCGGCACACGTTTGTAATCCCAGCACCCGGGGAGGCTCCTTTCCTGGCACACGTTTGTAATCCCAGCACCCGGGGAGGCTCCTTTCCTGGCAGGCAGGTGGATCACAACTCCAAGTTCAGCCTGGGCGACGTAGCGATTTAGTGAGACATTGTCTCAAAATGAAAAGAAACACTTTTTAAAAGGCCCTGGGTTCAATCCTCAGTACTGGAAAAAAAACGTTAAGTTTTTACTCAATAACAAGAACAACCATTATGCATAGAAATGTTCATTACAGTGTTCCTTATAATAGCAAATATAGAAAGTCCAGTGGCAGGGAAATAATTAGGATTTTCGAGGAGTAGCCTGTTAAGATAACAAATGCTCTCAATGCGTGAATAACATAAGAAGATATTTATGTTAAATAGAAAAATAAAAAGGATCCAAATTTGTTAAATGACATGACCAGAAACATATAAAAAGTGCTTAGGAAAAGCCAAGAGATCGGCGTTGAGAGTGTGATGTTTTAATATTTTCTTGTCATGTTCTAGTTGTTCTAAGAGTTAGTTAGTTCTGCTAAGGACAAAAACAACTTCATGCTAACAAGCTTTACCTACATCCTAACTACACCCCTCCACTCTGAAGCATACGCCACCTCAGAAGCTAATTTCTGTTTCTCCCCTACAGTTTGAAAATCTGAACATAGTCGCAGAGTGCCTGTTTTCTCTGGTTAACGGCGATGACATGTTTGCGACCTTTGCTCAAATCCAACAGAAGAGCATCTTGGTGTGGCTGTTCAGCCGTCTGTACTTGTATTCCTTCATTAGCCTTTTTATATACATGATCCTCAGCCTCTTCATTGCACTTATTACAGATTCTTATGACACTATTAAGGTAAGTATCAACATTTGCTGCCAAAAACCATTGCAGACTCTGTGGATTGGAACTTAACATATATTTACATAAGATATTATAATTTTATTTAGGTTTTGAGGGTTTTGTAGACAAGCCTTGTCGATGCTAAAGGCTAATTTCAAATGTGGATTTAGGACCTTTTCCCTCTTACCCAGATTGGAGGGTTTGGGTTTAGAGGTGTGTTAGAAAGAAATGGGAAAAGAGAGGGTGGGCTGAGTCCAGTATCTGGGCTGCTGCTGGTGGCACTGACCGATGCACCTGCCTGTGTGGCCACCTGGAACTGAAAATTAAGTGGCACATTTTCAGGTACTGCCATTCCTTACACTGGTCGGTATAGCCTCCTGTATGGTGCAGCTTTCCTTTAAATAATGAAAGCGAAGCCTTTTGTGCAGTTTTAGCTTCCTACTTTCCTAAGCCACCAGATGTGTTCTGTCCTTCTAGTCTGAACCCATTTAACTAATTTGTAGCTTGAAGGAAGTCTGATCCTCAGGCCTTGGTTTCTCCATAGCAGGTGGTTGTGCTTGGAGAATCCTTCAAGCACTGTGGAAGGCTGAGTTGGTGCCTTTGGGTGCTGTCATCTGCTGAACCTTCCCCAGACTAATGAAGAGGAAAGCCAGGCCACTGGCATAGTGGGGAGATGAGAGTTCAGTGCCTGGCCTCTCTTAGTGCCAGGGCAGAAGGCCTTAGAGTCTTTGTGGCTGCTTGGAAAAATCTGCCTTCTGTCTCACTCTGCAGCCACTTTCCTTAAAAGTAGCAGTAGAGTCCTGTGCTTTAGCAGTATGTGGCGTGGAAGTCTCATCTAGTCTCAGTTCTAGAACTCTAGGATTAGACTTTGTGCTAGTTCCTCCATCCCCCTTTTGGACACACCATTCCAAGACTTTCTGAAGCTTTGCTTTGGATTATTCTCTGTTCCCATGGTGGCCTTGGCTTGGCTCTTCTGGCACTTGGCGAATTGATTCATCACTGTTCTAATTTCACCTCTTGGATCTGAGCTAGCACTGTGGGAGAGTTTTGTTTTAGCAAGGGTGTTTGATTTGTTGGCACAGGGTCAATTTCATATGCTCTGTAAAGTAACAGCATTGTGTGCTTTTGAAAAGAAATATCAGCGGAATGGGTTTCCTGAAACAGATCTGCAGGAATTCCTGAAGGAATGCAGCAGCAGGGAGGAGCACCAGAAAGAGCCTTCAGCTTTGCTGTCCTGCATCTGCTGCCTGCGGAGGTCGGTACTGTGTTCGGCTCCCCACTCCTGAGGCGAACTCCTCTATTGCCTTGAGGAAGAGTAACTAAGGTTAATGGGATTTTCAGCCCTGAAATTGGCTTATTGTGGGAAACAATTTAACTTCCTTTTCTTTCCTCCTACCAAAATTGGCTCTAGAAATGAATTGTTTCTTGTAAAACAAGGTTGTGTGTAAAACTACATATCATGGTCTACATCCCTGTGGATTATCATGAGACCCCCTAAGAGAAAGGCATGAATGATGTCCCTGGAATCAAGAAACTGAACTCTTAGGTAGATGGCCCAAGGAAGACGTCAAAGCTCTTCTTTCTGGAGGTAGAGCTCTGAGACTGTCCAAAGCAATTTTCTCTTCACAATATGTGGCCCACATAACCTTGAGCAGAATAGGAGTTCCGGGTGTCCTTGGCAGCAGACACACAATAGTAGCTGTTCGCTGGGCAGCTGTGCTTTGCTTGCTGCTTGTCTAGATTCTTAAGGAAATGGTCCGGACCTTGGTGGACAAGGAGTGCTGTGCAGTAGTTTGGGGACTAGGACTGGGTCAGATGAGGGCAGTTTTCTTAAGTGTGTACATACATGTTTCAATCTGAAGTCGGGGGTAGGAATTTTTTACTTAAAGTATACCACACCTATGTTTTTTGAGAAAGATTCTCTAAATCCAACTCCTAAGGGAAAATGAGAGAACATAATTGCTACTTAAAACCACAGGATGTATTTTTCTGCTAATCAATTTGGACTGCATCTTGGGATTTAAAACAATATGATTGAGTCCAAAGAATGTCTGGTAAATATGAAATGAGGTCTTCTGAGAAGAGGTAAGTTTTCAAAATCACATATCATCCTCCCAGAGCATTCAATTATTGCTCTATAAACTGGGATAAAGAAAAAGTAATTTTCTTAATAGGCAGCTGCCTCCTAAGAGTCAGTCTGGATTAGGGAGTCACTTTTCTACTATGTAGTTAACTTTAAGGAGGGGGGATGTTTATTGGAAAATGCAGTAGTGAATTCTGAAAAATTAATGGATCTTTGGTGTCCTTAGTTTGCATCACAAAGAGCCCTAAGATGTTGTTAAAAGTTTTCTGGTGCAGCCACTGAGAATAATTTAAGGATTTAAGGAGTGAACTGGAAGCCTTATTGCTAAGGCTGGGTCTGAGTGGGGAGAAGGGTGCACCATCAGCAGACATTTGCCCTGCAGAACCCTGGGGTTGTTCAGAAGCTGCATAGGGCTTCCCTGTGCCCATTCTAGGAATGAAAGAACCAAAGCAAACAGGAGAGTCTACCAAGAAACAGTGTAACTGTTGAGCAGAGCTAGATGTGAAAGTTCTGTAGAAGAAGGATATTAAAGATAGGTCAGAAGTGGGTGTTGCCATGTTTGACCAAAAGATGGACCTTTTTGAAGGCAGCTAGAGTGATGTCCGTGGAATCTTTAGACCAAAATTTAGACTCATGGGAGTGGGGAGGACCCTGCAGAGAGTAAGTGAAGGTCACATGTCCCAGTGTGAGGCAGCCTGGGTACTCAGAGATTGGTGTCTGGTCTTCCTTGCCTGGTGACCATGACAGATAACATCCCAGCTCTTTCCTCCAGGACATGACGTGGTCACCCTTTCTCAATAAGCACCTGGGCAACACCCACACATTGGTCCTTCTTTGAAATGTTGACAGAGCCTTTAACCTGATCATCAGAACACCTGTTGTTTGTTTGTTTGTTTGTTTTGGGGGTGGGCTTTTTTTTTCAAGTGTGTCCTGTGACCTCTCCTAAACTTCTTGGCTCCTTCAATCTCATCACGATGAGCTAGATGGCCTCTTAAATCTTTCCAAGTCTAAAGTGATTGGTTCTTTGGAGAGACATGCTTGATGAGCAAATGTAAATTCAACTTTCTCCTTCTCTATTGCAGTGGAGAAAAGCTGGCCTTTGGAGCTATGATAAAGCTTCATTAGCAGAGTGGTGGGAGGGTTCTAAGAGATGGACAGCTGCTCACAGTTTGATTCTGAAACCATCTACTTAAATCTCAACGTCAGTTGCCCATCTCAATTCTTCCTCTTACAAGTTTCCCTAATATAACCTATGTGTGCCTAGAATATAAAGTATACTCCTATTTCTTGGTAAAGAATTTTAAGTCCTTACTCTCTTCTTTTCCTCCTCTTTCCCCATCCTGTTATAGGCGAGGAAGTGATGACCACTTGATACTTATTAACTGAAGTTCTTCTGGGAAGACAATTCAATTGCAGGCCTCCTTATCCAGCTGCAATGCTCAGGGCCCTCAAATGCCCTGCACCAGCAGTTCTAAAAGGATTGTCTTATTTAATCGTGGACTAAGAAAGAAGGACAACTGTCAGCTGGCTGACCATGACTAAAGTTCCAAAGTTACTTTTATAACTTTGGAGAATGAAGACTAGACCACAGGCTACTACTGCTGGACATTAGTGCAATTGAGCAGTGATAATGAAATTCACTATTAGTCTGCTAATTTGTGACACAAGAATATTGCAATGAAAAGTCACATTTCAGAGTATGCAAAACAAAAATGTTTAAAGTTTTATATTTAAAGATGTGTGTTTATTGTCAGATAAGGATTTGTTTTAAAAGTGATTCTTGAGTTCAAAGACTTGCTATTTTATGATCTGTACAGAAGTGTAGTTGGTTGCAAAAGTCATTTAAAAATCACACTTACATCAACAAAAAGACCTCTTGCAATAGACATTTCTCCACCTATTTTCCTCTGAGTTTTCTTCTGCAGCATATTTGAAGTGACTGTTGGCATAGTTGATGGACTAACCTGGAAACAACAATATTTATCAGTTGTTCTAATTTCTGATTGCACACACATGACGTGGCAGTAAACTACAGCAGCTGTCTTTGATCTTAACAACGGATCGCCTTTCTGGACATATAACTTTGTCAGGCAAAGAAATGTGGTATATTTTTCCTTAAATAAATTTATTTTTATTATACTATATTGCATTAATAGTATTTATTAAAATGTGGTATTGCCTAATATCTACTAATAAAAATTTAGATCACATCTGAATTAATTACCTGGTCTACAAAGAGGATTTCTAATTTTCCCTCTCCCTCTTCCCCCTCCCTCTTCCCCTCTCCCATCCCCCTTCCTC